TATATACAGTTGTGTTCAAATTAATAGCAGTCAGACATCACTAACCTGATCAATCACTGTTTTTGGTAGAAATTGTATTTCTACATGGAAAATAATTTACTGGCAGGTGTAGTAGAGTAATAGAAATCCAACAGACCCAACAGTCATAACATTCATGCTGCTGATTCTGTGTAATTGAATCACTAATTGAAAGGAGCATGTTCAAAATAATAGCAGTGTGGAGTTCTATTAGTGAGGTCATTCATTCTTTGAAAAACAGGTGGCAATTATTGCCCTTATTTAAGGAAGGAAGGCAGCAAATGTTGTACATGCTGGTTACAGTGTGTTTCTCTCTGAAATTCTGAGGAAAATGGGCCGTTCTAGACATTGTTCAGAAGAACAGCGTACCTTGATTAAAAAGTTGATTGGAGAAGGAAAACATATAAAGAAGTGCAGAAAATGATAGGATGCGCAGCTAAAATGATCGCAAATGCTTTAAAATGGCAACCAAAACCTGAAAGACGTGGAAGAAAGCGAAAAACTACCATTCGAATGGTTAGAAGAATAGCCAAAATGGCAAGGACTCAGCCAACAATCAGCTCCAGGAAGATCAAAGAAGGTCTAAAGTTACCTGTGAGTACTGTTACAATTAGAAGACGCCTATGTGAAGCCAAGCTATCTACAAGAAGCCCCCGCAAAGTCCCACTGTTGAAAAAAAAGACGTGCTGAAGAGGTTACAATTTGCCAAAGAGCACATTGACTGGCCTAAAGAGAAATGGCGCAACATTTTGTGGACTGATGAAAGTAAGATTGTTCTTTTTGGGTCTAGTGGCCGGAGACAGTTTGTCAGACGACCCCCAAACACTGAATTCAAGCCACAGTACACTGTGAAGACAGTGAAGCATGGTTGCGCAAGCATCATGATATGGGGATGTTTCTCATACTACGGTGTTGGGCCTATTTATCACATACCAGGGATCATGGATCAGTTTGAAAACATCAGAATACTTGAAGAGGTCATGCTGCCTTATGCTGAAGAGGAAATGCCCTTGAAATGGGTGTTCCAACAAGACAACGACCCCAAACACACCAGTAAATGTGCAACATCTTGGTTCCAGACCAACAAGATTGACGTTATGGAGTGGCCAGCCCAATCCCCGGATCTTAATCCAATAGAAAACTTGTGGGGTGACATCAAAAATGCAGTTTCTGAGGCAAAACCAAGAAATAGAGAAGAACTGTGGAATGTAGTCCAATCATCCTGGGCTGGAATACCTGTTCACAGGTGCCAGAAGTTGGTTGACTCCATGCAACACAGATGTACAGCAGCATGTTTTGATTTGGAATAGAATGTGTAGTGTTCCCAATGTATTTGTGTGTATGGAAATAAAAGCTATTAGAAGGATTTTGAGCTTTATTCACTTTTTTGAACACACTGCAATTATTTTGAACACAACTGTACGTGGTTTTTCCACAAAGCAAGCTGGCCCTTGTGGTCATTTTAAGGAGGTGAGGAGGCATTTTGGCCACTTATGGATATCAATTCACAGTGTGTGGCCAGTGGTGTATTTTGGTTTAGTGCTGCCCTAGGCAAGACTAAAATCCAGCACCCCCCCCACCCGCATCTAAATTTACCCTACCCCTTTCTGATTAAGATCCACCCCTTCATCTGTAAACCCCTTCCTATTTAGGCCCCGCCCACTGACAACGATGGGACGCTATTCCTCTCACACTGACACCAGTGATGGGGCACTATTCCTCCCACACTGGCACTGATGGGGCACTATTCCTCCCAGTGACACCAATCAGAGAGAGAGAGGGAAGAGAGAGAGAAGAGAGGGAAGAGAGAGGGAAGAAAGGGGGGAGAGAGAGAGAGAGAGAGGGGGGGTGGGAAGAGAGAGAGAGGGGGTGGGAAAAGAGAGGGGGGGAAGAGAGGGAGGGGGGGGAAGAGAGAGGGGGAGGGGGGAAAGAGAGAGAGAGGGAGGGGGAGAGAGAGGGGGGAGGGGAAAGAGGGAGGGGGGGGGGGGAAGAGAGAGAGGGGGGGAAGAGAGAGGGGGGAAGAGGGAGGGGGGAAGAGAGAGAGGGAGGGGGGAGAGAGGGAGGGGGAAGAGAGAGAGAGGGGGGGAGAGAGGGGGGGGGGGGGGGGGGGGGAGAAGAGAGGGGGGGAGAGAGAGGGGGGGGGAGACAGAGAGGGGGAGAGGGAGGGGGGAGAGGGAGGAGGGAGAGAGAGGGAGGGGGGAGAGAGAGGGAGGGGGGAGAGAGAGGGGGAGGAGAAGAGAGAGAGGGGGAGGAGAAGGGGAGAGAGGAGGGGAGATGAGGGGGGGTGAGAGAGGGGAAAGAGAGATGAGAGGGGGAGGAGAGAGATGAGAGGGGGAGAGAGAGATGAGAGGGGGAGAGAGAGAGGGGGGAGAGAGAGAGAGGGGGGGAGAGAGGAGAGAGAGAAGAGGGGCAGAGAGAGGAGAGGGGCAGAGAGAGGAGAGGGGAAGGGAAGAGAGAGGGGGGGAGAGAGGGGGAAGGGGGAGCATACAGGAGCTGACCGTATGCAGGAGATGGATAAAGGAGGTGACTGGCAGCACATAGAGCATAGAGAGAAATGCAGGGTCCTCTATGTGCCGCCCGGCCCCCTCTCCAGCCGGCTCCATGGCTGAAAGGTTCTCTGTCTCCTCGCCGCTGAGCACACACACACACGAACCCACCCAAGCATGCCCCCCTGGCCAAGCAGAGCCCTTTGCAGTGACAGCACTGGTCCCTTCTGCCAGGGGGCGGTGCCGCCCCCGAAAAGTGCCGCCCAAGGCAGATGCCTTGTTTGCCTCGCGGCAGATACACCCCTGTGTGTGGCACCAAACTCACTCCACGATCTTACTGATTGAATCCACATGTGTTTTATCTGTATCTTGCACATTGGTAGTTGATTCAATGGACTATCATCTGGCATGATTTTTTATATGTGTTGGACACTTGCACTTGTGTATTAGTTGCGTTCCCCTATAGGGAATCACTTGCCTCACAGTTATTTGGTCCCCGATTGGGGTTATTTTATGTGGGGGGGTCACTTGTGCAGTTTGTGACATCTCACCTATATGTTTCTATGTCTTTTATGTTTATATGTGCGATTGATGCTTCTGTTTAGTATTAGCGCTACACCATTTTCTCTCTACACCATGTCACTCTCTAGATGTGCAAAGCTGGTAGACACATCCCCAAAAAGACTTACAGCTGGAATTGCAGAGAAAGGTGGTTCTAGTATTCAAGTGTTGACTCAGGGGGCTGAATAAAAAATGCCGCCACACTTTTCAAGGATTTGTAAAAAAAAAAAAAAACAAAGTTAACCACTTCCCCTCCGGCCGTTGTATATAAACAGCCGGATGGTGGCAGTGCAGGGGTGGGTGGCCATTTATAAATGGCCTCCCCGCCTCCTGCGCGCTCCCTGGGAGCACGCAGCACCACGATCCGCTGCGTCCTCCGGACACAGTGGAACACCAATCATCGTACGAGACCTCTGTGCGAGGTCCCGATCATGTGATCACTGATTGGCCAATCAGTGATCACATGCAGAGTAGTAACCAAGATGTCACTTCTGACATCATTGCTTACTATGTGTGAAATCTGTGAATGATCACAGATGTCACATGGTACAGGGCTATTCACAACAGCCTTGTACCATGTGACAAGCTGTGACCAATCACAGCTCACACAGTATTTCTCAATGGCTGCAAGAATGCAGCCAGAGAAGGAGAAATGATTGCTTTCACAGCCTTTATGGGTGTAAAAGCAATCTGTAAAAAAAAAAAAATTCCTCATCACCCCCCCCCCCCCCCCCCCCCCCCCAAGTAGTACAGTGTCACCATGGTGACACTGTACTGCTAGGGTGACAGTATGTAAAAAAACAAATAATATAAAAAAATAAAATTGTAAAAAAAAATTTTTAAATTATATTTTTTGGTTATAAACTAATTTAGGTTATTTTTTTACTAAAACTGAATACATTTTGGCCACGATTTACGATTTATTTGCAAAATGTTATAAGAAAAACACTTTTTTTGGACTTTTTCATTTATATAGCAAAAAAAAAAAAAAAAAAAAATCCCAGTGGTGAATAAATACCACTAAAATAAAGCTTTAGCAAACACAAATGCTCCTGCGCTTGGGGATGGACTCGATGCTACAACCACATTAAGAATGTCCTGGAACATGCACACCTTGCTGCCCTCAAATGGACCGGGGGAATCCAAATATACTCAATGGGGAAAGAACAAAAAGAGGGCGCACAGGCCTAGTGCATTACCATAAAAAATGTTTAATAAAAAATAAATAATAAAGTAGGTGTTGTACTCACAAACGACAATATAGTCAAGGCACATCATAAAAGAACAGCTGGATCAACACCGCGCTGAGTAACAGTCCGCAATAGGGAGTTAAGACATCCAAAAGACTGACGCGTTTCGAGGACTTGCCTCTTCCTCAGAGCCCTGAGGAAGAGGCAAGTCCTCGAAACGCGTCAGCCTTTTGGATGTCTAAAAATCCCTATTGCGGACTGTTACTCAGCGCGGTGTTGATCCAGCTGTTCTTTTATGATGTGCCTTGACTATATTGTCGTTTGTGTGAGTACAACACCTACTTTATTTTTTTATTAAACATTTTTTATGGTAATGCACTAGGCCTGTGCGCCCTCTTTTTGTTCTTTCCCCATTTAAAATAAAGCTTTATCTGTCTAAAAAAATGCTAAATAATTCATACGGTTACAGTGTTGCATGACCGTGCAATTGTCATTCAAAGTGTGATAGCGCTGAAAGCTGAAAATTGGCCTGGGCAGGCAGGGGGTAAAAGTGTCCAGACTTGAAGTGGTTAAAAACCATTTATCATTTTCCTTCCGCTTCACAATTATGTTCCACTTTGTGTTGGTCTATCACATAAAATCCCAATAAAATATTTACATTTTCAGTTGTAACATGACAAAATGTGGAACATTTCAAGGGGTGTGAATACTTTTATCAAGGTATTGCAAGTATAACATGTTTATTTAACCACTCCCCTCCCGGCCCATGTACATAAACGGCCCACCGGGAGCAGTGCAGGAGCGGGTTGCCGTTCATAAACTGCGCCCGCATTTTCAGCCTGTGCGTGCCCCCTTGTACACAGATCGCTGTATGGGACCTCCTGTGTGAGGTCCCAATCATGTGATCACTGATTGGCCAATCAGTGATCACATGAACAGTAGTAAGCAAGATGTCACTTCTGACATCATTGCTTACTACTTGTGAAGTCTGTGAATGATCACAGAGGTCACATGGTACAAGGCTATTCACAACAGCCTTGTACCATGTGACAAGCTGTGACCAATCACAGCTCTCACGGTATTTCTCAATGGCTGCAAGAATGCAGTCAGAGAGGAGGAGAAATTATTGCTGTTACAGCCTTTGAGTGTAAAAAAAAAAAAAAAAAAAAAAATCATCACACTCCACATGTAGTACATTGTCACTATGGTGACAATGTACTGCTAGGGTGACAGTATGTTAAAAAAAACATAAATAAAATTTTTTTAATAAAAATGTAAAAAATTGTTTTTTAAAAATTATAACTAATTTGGGTTATTTTTTTTACTAAAAAGATAGATGAATACATTTTGGGCTGGATTTATATAGATTATTTATTTGCAACATTTTATAAGAAACACTTTTTTCAAAATGTTTAGACTTTTTCATTTATTTAGAAAAAAAATAAAAATCCAAGTGGTGAATAAATACCACCAAAATAAAGTTTTATCTGCCTCAAAAAAAAAAAAGCTAAATTCTAATGGGTACAGTGTTGCATGACCGCGCAATTGTCATTCAAAGTGTGATAGCGCTGAAAGGTGATAATTGGCCTGGGCAGGAACGGGGTGAAAGTGTCCGGACTTGAAGTGGTTAAAAGAAAAAATACCTTTCCAATCACTGCAATGCAAACATTAAACGAGGGCACTGTATGTTAGAAATATGAGCGCACTGATTACATTTGTTCAAGAGGTGAACTATGCCTTCAACTCCTACAGAGAAGAATGTGCAAAAAAGGCTACAAGATCGTCTACTACAAAATAGATTGCAGGAAGGAAGTGCATCTAATTATGTATATGTCTCCTACAAGGGACTGTCAGATCACTTAGACTAGAGCACAGACAGAACTGTTTCCAGAGCAAACCACCATGTGCGTTGACAATGACATCATATATCGTCATCTACATGAGACACACCTTTAACGCGCATGCGTGTTTCCACGGCCCGCGTGTTTTCTATAGAATAGATTACAGTGGCGTCCAATTGAGTAGTAGAGACTCTCACCTGTCTGATATAGAAGCCGACTATTCTCCCTCCGCCTGCTAGCTGAAAGCGAGCACCGATATTCCTTCCCACGTGTAGACTCCGCCCCTGTGTGTCCTGATGTCCCTTCCCTGTGTGATGTCTCCTCTGACTGACAGTTCCAGCTGGATGTAGTTCCTTAGCGTTCAGAAACGGCTTCTCAACAGGTTGACATGTGCCTAGAGTTTGGACAGGACAATCCCTGGAATTTTTCCAATTAGGACCTCTAAAAACGTTTTAAAAAGCCCCAGCAGTGCCACCTGTCAGTGTCCATCAGTGCCTTGTGTCAGTGCTCATTAGTGCCTCGTGCCAGTGCCCATCAGTGCCACATCAATGCCACATATCAGTGCCTACCAGTGCACATCAATGCCGCATATCAGTGCCCATCTGAGCTGCCTTTCAGTGTCACCCATCAGTGTCTGTCAGTGCCACCTATCAGTGCTGCCAATCAGTTCCACCTATCAGTGCCAGTCGGTGCCGCCTATGAGTGCCAGTCAGTGCCTCCTATCAGTGCGCATCAGTGTCGCCTATCAGTGACGCCTAACAGCGCCAGTCAGTGCCACCTATCAGTGCCTGTCAGTGCTGCCTATCAGTGCCATGTATCAGTGCTGCCTTTCAGTGCCCATCAGTGATGCCTGTCAATGCCCATCAGTGCCACCTACCAGTGCCTCCTCATCAGTGCCACCTATCAGTGTCCATCAGTGCAGCCTATCAGTGCCCATCACTGCAGCCTCATTAGCGCATATCAGTGAAGGAGAAAAATCACTTATTTACAAAATTTTATAACAAAAACTAAGAAAAAACATTTTTTTTTCTAAATTTTCAGTGGTTTTTGGTTTGTTTAGCAAAAAATAAAAAACCCCAGAGGTGAATATCACCAAAATAAAGCTCTATCTGTCTAAAAAAAGTGATAAAAATTTCATATGGCTACAGTGTTGCATGACCGCGCAATTGTCATTCAAAGTGTGACAGCGCTGAAAGCTGGAAATTGGCCTGGGCAGGAAGGGGGTATAAGTGCCCTGTAGGCTAGTGGTTAAAAAAAGCAGTGTGTGGGTGTGTGATTTCAGCCCATTTAAATAAATGGGCTTGAAATTGCACTGCTTAGACCCGCATATGAATCACACATGTGATTAGCTGTGATTGGACACAGCTGATCACATGACCGAGCCGACATCTTTGGCTCTTTCCGTTGATCGGTGATCCGCTGTGTCCGAGGGACACCACCGATCGCCGTGCTGCGCGCCCCCGGAGCCGCACATGCGCGGTTAGAATGGGAGGATGTCATATGACGTCCTCCCAGAACGAGAACCGCCTTGCGCCTGACATTACCTTAACCGTGGGAGGCGGTTAAACGCACAGCAACCCCATTGCATAGTATTTTGTACCATGCGGTTTGGTGCAGGCAAACACAATGCCCCCGCAGAAGATTGCAATGGGAACGTGGCTCTATCGCACCGCATTCTCGAATGAACAAGCCCTTAAAGTATAACTAAAGGCAAACCTTTTTAGTTTTGGATAGAATGAAGATGGATTAGAACACCTGTCAGGTTTTATTGCTGTCTGTGCCCCTGTTAGGGAGATTCATCCTCTCTGTTTGTACTGTTTACCGTAATTACTGAAAGTGAAAATAATAGAAAATCACAGATTTTGGGTTAAACATCTGAACAGTAATACAGTAGAGTAGAAATCTTCCAATGGGGATGCTAGTTCTGGTGACACCCTGGGATTCCCTCATTTTAGATGGGTTTCCTCCCACTTCCTGTTTGGCTATGGGACAGGACGTGAAGGAAAATCTCCCCAATGGGACACAGATGGCAAAAAAAAAATGTATGGGACTTTATGTTTTCATTTTTGATAGAGTAAGGGAGAGTTACTCCCTTACTCTATCAAAAATGAAAAAAAAATAAAGTGTTGCCTATAGGTACACTTTAAAGCCCGGTTGCCCAGCAGCACACACTAACCTTCCCTTTTCTCCCCCACCAATCCATTCAAGAGGTATGAAGGAGCATGTGACTCACACCATGTGATTGGTGATTGGCCTAGGGTTGTCTTTCCTTGCTCTAGACAGTTGAACAGTAAAAGGAAAGTAAGTAAATAGTGCTGGTGACTGCAGACTGCAAACCAGAGTATTTAAAAGTTCTAAAAGTGTATGGATGCATCTGATATGTAATTGGCAAATTAAAGAGGGCTGTTTCTCTTTTACAGATTTCATCTATAGTTAGGGTTACCATCTAGCCAGTACCCCCATGTATTTCTATGGACTTGCGGGTGTAAACGGATGAACATCTTTTTACATCCGTTAACATCCGTTTTTTTGAACGTATGAAAACCCTATTTTTCTTCCACCAAAAAAACCCAGAACAGACAAAAAACAGATGTCAATGGATTGTATGCAGCCCGGCAAGCACCCTCCCCTCCTGAACCATATCAGGCCACATGCCCTCAACATGGGGGGGTGCTTTGAGGCGGGGGGGCTCCCCCACCCAAAGCACCTTGTCCCATGTTGATGGGGACAAAGGCCTCTTCCCCACAATCCTGGGCTGTGGTTGTGGGGGTCTGCGGGTAGGGGGCTTATCAGCATCTGGAAGCCCCAAGATTATACTAATTCACAAAAAACAATTTAGTGTGAAAAAAGACAGGAGACAGTCTTGGACAAGTCCTTTATTAAAAGAAGGAAAATAAAAGAATGTCCCCCGAAGTAGATCCAACATCAATCACAATGCCCACTGCTGCCGCCCCGAAAAGAAAAAAAAAACAAAGGTTCCACTCCCAGAATTGGCTCCCCCCGTCTGACTGCTCCACTGGCTTGACAGTGGTTAAATATGTAAGGGGTGGGGCCACCCGGTGACATCATCAACCGGGGCATGCTGGGTCAATGATGTCACACGGGACACATACATGATTTAAGAACTGTCAAGCCAGCGGAGCAGTCAGACGGCGGGAGCGGAGTCTTTGTTTTCTTGTTTTTCCCGAAGAGGCCCTTGTCCCCAACATGGGGATCCCCCCACCCCAAAGCACCCCCTCATGTTGAGGGCATGTGGCCTGGTATAGTTTAGGCGCTTGCTCACCCCCCCCCCCCCCCCCCCCCTTTCCTGACCTGCCGGGCTGCATGCTTGGATAAGGGTCTGGTATGGATTTTGGGGGGGGGGACCCCATGCCATTTGTTTTTAAATTTTGGCGTGGGGGTTCTCCTTAAAATCCAAACCAGATCCAAAGGGCTTGGTATTTTTAAAAAAAAATTTAATTGCCGACATTTTTTTTTTCTTTTTTACATTCAGCTGTCAGTGGGGAGCCCCGCTGACAGGTGATGACTAAAAACAGATGAAAAAATGGATGTAAACTGATGAAAAAACAGATGTAAACTCACCGTTTTTTCTTTGAAAAAACGTGACTGAACTGATGAAAAAGAACGCCTGTGTGAAGGGACCCTTAAGGACCTGTCTTTTTTGGAGGGGAGCCAGCTGACAGGCTCCTACTGCTTAATTGCAGTTAAAGTGGCACTTTACTCACCTCCACCTCAGCAATGCAGTGTCCAGGAACTCCCTGCTAGCTAATGACATTTTTGACCAGTTTTCTTCTGAGTTCCGATCTTTGACCCTATTGATTGGTTGTGCCAAGGTGATGTCACTCCTGCTCATGTGTGGGATTTAATTTATTTCGGCAGATTCTGAAATTGTACACTGAGCTGAGTGTGTGCAGCACAGTGTACAGGGCGAAGGTGAGAATACTTTAAAAGGAGAAGAGGCATAGTATGTCTCTTCTCTTCTGTTTTAGTACAGTTTGACTTTCAGATGGTAGCAGTGATGGTGACAGCGATGTCCGCTAGTCTTCTTCTGCCCATCATTTCCTACCTCCAGCTTGCAATGATAATGCATTGCATGCTGTGCCGGTGGTGAATCAGGGAATATAGGTGAGCAGAAGGCAACTTAGAGAAATCCTGTGAGAGAGTCACCAGCTCAAAGAGTTAGCTGTACTTTGATGCAACCTGCACTTGCGTAACCTACATTATTTACTCCTGATCCCTGTGATCCCTGCATTTTGTGCGTTACATGCTCCTGACCTCTGCGCTCTGTGTGATATGTACTTCTGTGCTCTGTGTGATATGTACTCCTGACCCCTGCACTTTATGTGTTATACGCTCCTGACCTCTGCACTCTGTGTGATATGTACTCCTGTCCCCTGCACTTTATGTGTTACATGCTCCTGACCTCTGCACTCTGCGTGATATGTACTCCTGACCCCTGCACTTTATGTGTTACACGCTCCGGACCTCTGCACTCTGCGTGATATCTACTCCTGACCCCTGCACTTTATGTGTTACATGCTCCGGACCTCTGCACTCTGCGTGATATGTACTCCTGACCCCTGCACTTTATGTGTTACATGCTCCGGACCTCTGCAATCTGCGTGATATCTACTCCTGACCCCTGCACTTTATGTGTTACATGCTCCTGACCTCTGCACTCTGCGTGATATGTACTCCTGACCCCTGCACTTTATGTGTTACATACTCCGGACTTCTGCACTCTGCGTGATATGTACTCCTGACCCCTGCACTTTATGTGTTACGTGCTCCTGGACCTCTGCACTCTGCGTGATATACTCCTGACCCCCTGCACTCTCTGACCTCTGCACTTTATATGTGTTTACATACTCCGGACTTCTGCACTCTGTGTGATATGTAATTCTGTCCCCTGCACTTTATGTGTTACATGCTCCTGACGTCTGCACTCTGTGTGATATGTACTCCTGACCTCTGCACTTTATGTGTTACATGCTCCGGACCTCTGCAATCTGTGTGATATGTACTCCTGACCCCTGCACTTTATGTGTTACATGCTCCGGACCTCTGCACTCTGTGTGATATGTACTCCTGACCCCTGCACTTTATGTGTTACATGCTCCAGACCTCTGCACTCTGTGTGATATGTACTCCTGACCTATGCACTTTATGTGTTACATGCTCCAGACCTCTGCACTCTGTGTGATATGTACTCTTGACCTATGCACTTTATGTGTTACATGCTCCTGACCTCTGCACTCTGTGTGATATGTATTCCTGACCCCTGCACTTTATGTGTTACATGCTCCTGACCTCTGCACTCTGTGTGATATGTACTCCTGACCCTTGAACTTTATGTGTTACATGCTCCGCACCTCTGCACTCTGTGTGATATGTACTCCTGACCCCTGCACTTTATGTGTTACATGCTCCAGACCTCTGCACTCTGTGTGATATGTACTCCTGACCAGGGGCAGACTGAAAACTCATGGGGCCCCCAGGCAGTAAGAGATAATGGGGCCTTCTGTTCCCCTGCCTACATTCAAGACACACCCACACAACACCCTACCTACATATTGCAGCTCAGCTGCATAGAAGGGGCATTTAAATATTTACTGCAGCAAAGTCTGCATGAATGTTCCCGACTTCTTTCCGTAGAAGCCACTGGGCACTTCCAGGTTTAAAGATGGCTGCCATGTGGGAGATATGAAAGAGAGAGGGGAGTGAGAGGGTGCAAAAGAGGAGGGGTGTGAGAGAGAGAGAGGAAGGGATGAGAGAGGAGGGGTGTATTTTAAATTGCGCTAAAAAGTGGGCAAGGCTTAAAAGGGGTGTGGTTAAATAGTGTCTGAGATGACTTATATAGTGCAGAATGAGGTAATGTGAATTAGGGAATGTGCAGTGTGGTGTGTATGATAGTGGGTAGTATGTACAGGAAGAGGGGTGCAGAGTGTATGGCGGTGGGTAGTGTGTGCAGGGAGAGGAGTGCGGAGTGTATGACGGTGGG